TTTCTTCTTTTCGAAAGAGGGATCTTTTATCATTTTACCTAACTAGAAAATACAGTTTGACAATTTGGAGAAGAGTTTTGTGATTAATATTTTCCCAAGTCTTCATATTTCAAGAAGTGGGGTTTATTAACTGTTTGTTGAGGAGGATTGAATTTAGAGTGGTATTATTCAATGGAGCTTCTCAGGAAACTAGACCTTTTTATATAGAATAGTTTTCTTTAATTTCTATCTTTTGACTTCTTCAAAGGTGTGATGTCTGTGCATGTTCTTTACCTGGCTTTACAGTTATTAAGATAAAGAGTAAGTTTAATTCTGGTCCAACCTCTTACAGTGAATAGGTGGGTGTGAGAATATAATAAATTTTCTGAAAGAAATTATTCAGTTTGTACTTTTGTTTCCTTTGTCAGATCTCCATAAGTTTTTTCGGACAATGATCTTCAAGTTTTGTCAACTTACCAATATTAGTGAAAGAAGCTCTTGTCTACACAGCTATTATTTTTCTAATATTGAATTTTTGTGCTATCTTTTTTTAGGTCCATCCTGAGGGGAAATATGTAGTTGACATTGATAAGAGCATAGACATCACAAAGATTACGCCTTCAACAAGGGTTGCTTTACGTAATCATAGCTATGTGCTCCACTTGATCCTACCTAGTAAAGTTGATCCGCTGGTGAATCTTATGAAAGTAGAAAAAGTTCCGGATTCCACTTATGACATGATTGGTGGTCTAGACCAGCAAATTAAAGAGATAAAAGAGGTGTGTATCCTGGAATTTTCTGTTTCTTGTTATCTTAGTTCCTTGCTAATTTGCAATGGATCGCTCACCATTATGTGCTATTTGTGGGAAATTGTTCAAAGCATTCCCCAATTTTCCTTTGTGCTCTAGTGGCACAGATAATTCCAATGTAATTTTCGTTAGAATTCAAAGTTCAGTCTTGTCAGTGTTTTTGTTCTATGTAAGTTCAGCTGGTTAATAGTCTTAGAGGAATATAACTGGAACGATGCAATGTGTTCATTAGGTAGAATTGAATGCTTAAGAAAGATGATTGTGGTGGATATGTGGTACCAGGACATTAAAATAATACAATTTATTTATTCTGAACTCTCTTCTTGCTACTAAGGATATGTAATAATTTCACTTTCATAGGAGCTTATAAGGTTGATTTTGCTTCAATTGAAAGCCTGTTTCCCTATTAAAAGAGCCGTCCGAGTTTATCTTTGTAAAAAGCTTCATCAGGGGTATTAGGACAAAACCAATCAGTGACTGAGATGCCGACATTGAGATCCCATATTTTCTTCTCTTCCATTGTTTATCAGAACCTTTACAAGATATTTGTAGGACTTTATTCTAATTCTGAAGGAAACCAAACGTGTCTTTATGATCTTAGTTTGATATCTATCTTTTGGAATCTATCATCATGTATGGATTCTGGATCTTTATTATTATCCTCATAAAATTTATGATCTTAATTTCCTTGCTCTCCTGTGTTACAGGTGATTGAACTTCCAATCAAACATCCTGAATTGTTCGAGAGTCTTGGTATTGCGCAACCTAAGGTAATGTGTGCAAAAAGGAAACATTTATTTAATGAACTGTTAAAAGCATTTCCAATTGTTTATACCTTTCAATTGCTTTAGGGAGTGTTGCTGTATGGTCCTCCTGGCACGGGTAAGACTCTGCTTGCAAGGGCGGTGGCCCACCACACTGACTGCACATTTATCCGAGTATCGGGCTCTGAATTAGTTCAGAAGTACATTGGAGAAGGCTCTCGGATGGTGAGAGAACTTTTTGTGATGGCCAGGTTAGTTTATCCATTCATGAGTCATTTGGATATTATTCACTTGAAATACTCCGATAATCTGCATTTGGTGACGATCTCATTTTGACAGAGAACATGCCCCGTCTATCATCTTCATGGATGAAATTGATAGCATTGGATCTGCTCGTATGGAATCTGGGAGTGGAAATGGAGACAGTGAAGTTCAGAGAACTATGCTGGAACTTCTCAACCAACTGGATGGATTTGAGGCATCTAATAAGATAAAAGTATGTTGAAATTTTCTTATTGATATTACATCTACTTTCTTGATTTATGTTTACCTTTGCATTTCCTTTTTCTCCTTCCTACTTATTTATTTAATTCTAGAAAATAACGTGTGCTTAAGAATCTAGTGGTTTAAGTTCAGATTTGGGATCTGGAAATGGTAATTATTGTTTGGTACCTTTGTTCTACACAGGTATTGATGGCTACCAATAGAATTGACATTCTGGACCAAGCTCTTCTAAGGCCTGGAAGAATTGATCGGAAAATCGAGTTCCCAAATCCTAATGAAGATGTGAGCTATTTATGATCAGAGAAACATTTTTATGATTCTTGTTTATTCTTATGTTTTGTATTTGATTGGTATGATGCTCAATATGTCATTAATAGCATAATTGATGCAATATCCTTGAAACAAAATTAGAAAACCTGAGGGATTTTCATCTTTTATTCAACTTTATTTGCCCTTAGACACTGGCATCACATTTGACTTTCTAACGCTAGTTATTTGAAAACAATTACAGTCTCGGTTTGACATATTGAAGATCCACTCGAGGAAAATGAATTTAATGAGAGGGATTGATCTCAAGAAGATTGCTGAGAAGATGAGTGGTGCATCTGGTGCTGAATTGAAGGTACAATTAATGTTAAATTTTTTTATTTACCTCAACCATAAGTATTGATCTGTTATATAAAGGTTTAGCTTTTCTGAAAGGTGTCTTCCTTCATTAACAAATGACATGGAAGTTTGTGCAGTATTGTATGCCATGCATGTTTGCGCATTCTGGCTTTATTACCAAGTACTTATGCATGCATCGGAAAGTGTTAAATATCTTGACATTTAGTTTGTGTAGCATGAATTGAGTAATGCTGCCAACTTGTCCTCTAGGATGGTTATGTTAAGGCCTCCTTATTAGTAAAATCGAAAATTTTCCTATAAATTCAGGGATATAATTGTAATTATAAAGTTTGATGTTTAATATCTAATCTAACTACATATAAAATCTCAGTTATTTTTTGAAAATTATGTATATCTCTTCAATGCATGTCTCTTTTCACGTATAAGTCTCTCGTCTCCAGTTATTTATACTTTTCGAGGTAACATCATATCCACCGCCACACAGTAATTGGAAATTTTGAACTACAACTAGACACGGGAAAAGAATTTATGGACCTTCTTCCAGAATATCAAATTAGGCATTGGCCCCTTCACCCTTGGAAAAACAAGAAAGAGCGAACAGTTAATGAATAATAAAAAAAAAAAAGTAAATGCTGAAGTTTGTTTTGGTTTTGCAGGCTGTTTGCACTGAAGCAGGCATGTTTGCTCTGAGAGAGAGGAGGGTCCACGTAACTCAGGAGGACTTTGAGATGGCCGTAGCGAAGGTTATGAAGAAGGAAACAGAGAAAAACATGTCTTTGAGAAAGCTTTGGAAGTAGATTGTGTTAAGTTACTACTGTTTTTAACATTGGTCCATCCATCTTATCACTTGTATATATTTTAAAATGTGAACAGAAGCTGCTTTCAAATCTTATATATATTTGTGCATGCAAAGCTCATATGTATTTTGAGTCTTCTGTTTCTGGGGAATTAATTTATTGATTGCAATTACAATAGTTAAGTTTCCCGTGATTGTTGGACTTTGCATAACATATTAAGCTTTCCTAATCTCCTCTGTTGGAAATGCTACGGTCCCGTTACAGAATCATTCTGTTGGGTTTGTAACCGTTAGATCATCATATAACAGTCGGAGATAGTTGGTCTAACGATTACAAATTACGACGGAATGGTTCCGTAACGGGACCGTAGCATCTCCCTCTACTATAACATATAAGAAAAAAGGTACTTTCTTGCAGCAATAGTTTTGTCCAGATTGTAATTGATGGTTAAGATGTTAGGATAATGTTTAACATGCTGCGGTCCAAAAAAAAACATGCTGCGGTCCCAAATCTAAAACATTCATTTTGGGATTCACGATGGTTTTCATATTCTATATAAGCTTCATTCTTTCATGAATTTCTTTAAGACTCCTCAATTGAGCTATGCATGAGCATTGTTTTAGAGGAAATTACACCAGCTACCATTCAAAACAATTTTATTTGCACATTTACTAATTTTTTAACTTTTTTTGCAATTATACTAGCTATTAAATTTTTTTTTCTCCAATTAAAAACCTACTATAATAACTTTTAAACTTTAAAAGAAAAAAAAAAAGACAAAAAACTGTAAAAAAGGTGATCGATGGAGACAAAGATAACGGGGTTCGATAATGACAGGGAAAGTGGGCTCAATTCTCGAAGGTGGACACCGGCGGCAGAGGCGAGAGTTTAGCTCGATTCTCGGAGGCGGAGGTCGGTATCGATTCTCGAAGG